TATTGCAGTAAAAAGTACAGAAGTTTATGCTGAATTTATTCAAAACAAGGATAAATCCAGGAGTTGTTTGTTTTGTTTTTAGATTCCACATATAAGCGAAATCATACAGTATTTGTATTTCACTCAGCATAATGCCCTCTAGATCGTCCATATTGTCACAAATGGCAACATTTCATTCTGTTTTATTGCTGAGTAATATTGTGTGTGTGTGTGTGTGTGTGTGTAAGTGTGTGTATAAAATCTGCAACTTTCTGATTTAGAAAAAAAAAATCCAGAGAAAGAGGATTTAAAATTTTTAAATGAGTTAAAATCATTCCCATGCAAAATCTGAATTTCACCCACCTAAAAAAGATTCAAACTAATCCTATAGAAAAATGTAAAGTCTTAATTTCATGAACTACTGAATGTCCCCTTACATATATAAGACACGTACATAAACATGTCTCCCTTGGGGACATCATCCATTCTCATAGCTCTAAATACCACCTATAACCCGATGACTCCCGGGCTCTCTGTCCAGCCCTGAATTCAAGCTTGTAGACCCAGTTGTGTATCTGACATACCCACCTAGATGCCTAATAGGAACATCAAATGCAGCATGCCCCACAAGAAGTTCCTGATCTCCACCACCCTCTCCCTCCCCAAACCTGCTCCTGTAGTCTACATTTCAGTAAAAGGCAACTCCGTTTTTCCAGTTATTCAATCCAAAAACCTTGGAGTCACCCTGACTTCTCTCACGTGCCACAATCTCACATCTAATCCAAGAGCAAATTTAGTCAGCTGTGCCTCCAGATGTCACAGAATCTGACCCTTCGCCACTGCCAACACCATTCTCATCTAGATTAGATGAGAATGGACTCCCCTAAGTGGAATCCCTGCTTTTTCCTTGGCTCTCCTTCAGGACACAGCAGCCAGAGAGATTTATTAAAGCATAAATCAGGGCCTATGACTCCTCCCTCAACATTTTCCAAAGGCTCCCCAAACCACATGAGTGAAAGGCAAAATCCTTGCAATGGCCAACAAGGCCCCCGTCTTCTCCAGTCATTCCCCCTCCACCCCTCCATTTTATCTCCTACAACTCTCCTTTTGCTCTCTCTGCTCCAGCGAATCTGGACTTGTCCTTGAACGTGCTAAGCAAGCTCTGCCTCAGAACCTTTGCACCCTGACTCCCACTGCCTGAAATGTTTTCACCCCATTATTTCCATGGCATTTCCCCTTACCTCCCTCCTTCAGGTCTTTACTCAAATGCCACCCTTTTAGTGGGGCCTCTCTAGCCACCCTAAAATCACCGCCCCACCCCAACATTTCCTATACTGTGCACTGTTATTTTTCTCCTCAACACCTACTACCATCAACATACTCCATATTTTACTTATTTAGCTTATTTATGGTCTGTCTCCTCCCACCAGAATTTAAGTTTTAGGAGGGCAGGAATACGTTTTTGGTCATTAATGAATCACCAATGACTAAAACACTACCAGGTACATAGTGTGTGCTCAACAAATATTTGTTGAAGAAAGAAAGGAATGCTAAGGAAAAGGGGTTTACTAGTGAATGTTTTCAATCCTGTTTTACCAACTCTCCTAAATGTGAATTTTCTTAGTCAAGCCACTGAAATTTGGAAGGAACATATGGTACATGAAATAACATCATGGTTTCCTTCTTTCCCCCTACCTGTGACTAGCCCTTTTGACCCTGAATGATCCTAGCCAAAAGCTGCCATGTGCCCACTCCTTTAAGATTCACCACGACACAACATTATTCTTGGCTTCCAGAGTCATGTCTGATCCAACGCTGTAAGTTACGACTGCAAGTTTTTTAATCCAACCTTTATGGATGTTTACCAACTCTAGAAAGATCAGCCTATGAAGACCCAGAAAAATTTGTAACCCAAAGTAAGACCGTGTTCATGTTCCCCTAGAAAAAGAATGCCCAAGGTCCAAAGAAATGTGTTTGTCTTCAGTAAAACAGGACTTAGGCAAATTCGTTTATAAAAAGGTGCAGCATAGGGCCGGCCCAGTGGCTCAGTTGGTTAAGAGCTGGCTCAAGAGTTTGAGCTCTGAGCAACAGCGGTTTGAGTCCCGGCCCGAACTGAGCTGCCGCTGAGCTGCCAACAGGTGGCAGGATGGCTCAGCTAAAAAAACAAACAAAACAAAAAGGTGCAGCATAGAAGTGACTATTTGACTGGACTGCCATAAGTTCACATTTTAAATCTTTGTATTTTTTTGTATTACAAAATAACACATTTGTTGTAAAAAGGAATCTGAAATATCACAAATACAAAGTAAAATGTGAAAGTTTTCTCCTATTCCACCTAAATCCCAATTTCCTAGAGATAACCACTACTTCAGTCTAAATCCTTCCACACTTTTTTCTGTGCATGGACAAATAAAAATAATTTTTATTTTACAAATAGGGGGCCATACCAAGCGGACTGAGCCCCAAACTGCTGTTTTCCACTTAATCACTACATGGACACCTATCAGTGTCAGTACTTTATAGTATGCTGACAATAAACAGCATTATGTGCCTTCCAATACACTTTCTATAGCAGCAGTTTTTAAGCTTTTTAAATCTTAGGACGTCTTTGACACTTAAAAATGACTGAGGACCCCTATTACTTATACAGGTTATCTCCTCAATATTTACCATATTAGAAGTTTAAACTGAAAATTTTAAATTATTCATTTAAAATTAAATATTTTTATTATTACTGGAAAATAACTGTGTTTACCCTGTTTTTAGATAACTGTAGTTATTCCTCTCTGAAGCTACACCAAGACTTGGTAAATGATAGTCTCTTTATTTTTTTCGTTTTTAGTGGTAGTTTCTCAAAGGTTAGTTGTCATATAGAATCTAAAGCTGTATCAATGAACTTTTGTATTCTGTTACATTAAAAGCCAGTGGTCCATCTTGCACCTTGAATGGATCTTTTACCTGTGTGTGATTCCATAATATTATGTGTTGATCATTTAGAAAATACTGACTCACTGAATTACGTAGATCTTCCAAATAATACATTTCATTATATCAAAATACTACATTTGTAAATATTACCACCAATCTCTACACGATAGTAGCAGATACAAGTTTTCCAAAATGCTAATTTTCACTGGAAAGCTAAAATTTTATCATTGGATACTACCAGTTGTTTTCTTTGAAAGACTCCTTTATACATTTTTTAGTGTTAATAACCATAGTTTGTGGATTGTAGTTTTGTCATAGTTTCAAGTAAAAATGACAGTTCATGAGAAAAGCAGCTAGCTCAGCCTGCAACTCAAACAACTGCCCCAGTGCTCTTCCTAGAGATGACCATCATACCTCAGCACACAACAGAAATGCTTTAGGCGTACTTACCATTTCATCCCACAGAATATTAAAAAGATGTATACACAAGGGTCAAGAGTTACTAAAGTTTATAATACTTGCTGCTTCGTCAATGACTTTCTTAAGTGACAACCAAAATTTTTAATTATGATTATTTTTTACTATGAGTGCATGGCATGAATACAATGGCTACCAGTATAGTTAGAGACTACAGCTTTGATTCAAGCTAAGAAAGTTGCATTACTTCTGCACCATTAGTGCAAATAACATCTTAGTATTGCATTAATGTGCAAACAATTTTAACCCTGGATCCCGGAAGGGGTATCACGACATCTAGGAGACTACATTATACCAGAATAGTTTCCTAGAAGTGAGATTACTGGGTCATCGGTATGCACATTTTAAATTCTGATGTTTGGCCAAAGCTGTCCAGAAAGTCTGTACCAATTTTCACTAAGTCTGTATGATCATAACTAGTTAAAAATGTAAATAATTCACTTTATAAATGCTGAATTTGGGAAGCACCAGAACACAGCACATTACCATATCTGCCTGTCTAAAACCAATGCTAAAATATAACTAAATGTTTTAAGGTAAAATAAAATCCAAGTACCCAGATTTTTTAGATAAGGTGAATATTTTTCTGTAAGAAAGGCAAACCTCAACTGTCAAAAATGCAAGTTCACTGAACAGAAACACCTTCGTTTATTGTAGCCACCTGTTAAGAGGTATTTGTGATGGAATTTCAAAGCATATGCCACTTGCACACATCTTACATTTGCTTATAGGGTGGGTAGGCTCAACCGACATTCTAATATAAAGTACACAGTCTGAAAAATGTCAGGCTGCAGCAGTACAAAGAAAACCCTAATTAAGTGGTTCACAGCCAGCTGTTCCAGACACTGGTCTTAGATGACCCTTAGCTTGAAAACTTCACACAGAATTACGGGACGTGAACAGTATAATAGGCACTGTCAGAATTAGAATGCCAACTATGTCCATAAAAATGTCAGACCACCTTTCTTGCCCCAGATGTCATCTGAAACAGGGAGCGAGGAGGAACGCTCCATCCGTAAGTCAAGGATTACCACTTGCACTTGCATAAGGTAAAATAACCAAAAGTGTGGTGTCCTCAATTCATGAGGAATGCTGCTTCCCCACTCGATTTTTCCCACTTAGCTCCCAAGTATTTTCAAGTCCTACTTATGACTGAAACGGTCAAGGATATTAGTGTCAACTAGGATCTCTGGCTCCTAAGCTTTTGGAGCTTAAGGACTTGGTAAAAGCTCTCTGTATCTAGAAAGTAGTAAAGGACCCATGCACCTGGGGGGAAAGCCCATGCCTTGGGCTAGAACAGAATCACGGACTATGGATCCTGGGAAACCACTTAAGCCCAGCCTCCTCAGGAAACTGGAATCGTAAAATGGCTTGTCCAAGGTCAACAGTCAGAAGGGGAATCAGGCAAGAAACAAGCAACTCAAAGAAACAGAACAAAAATGAATCAAGCCGTAACAGAGTCACCAAGTAACTTTTTCTTCTACAAAGAAACTAAGAGATAACCACAGCTTTAACGGAAGGAACCGACACAGGCGCTGTGGTTCAAGCTCCTGAATGCGTTCCTAAAGCTGAATACTTAAGGCAACATGGGACCCGAACGCTTGAAAAGCACTCACCGTGTTCCACAAACACATTGCAGTGTGGGCCCCCGTGCCTCGATGACTCCTTCTTCCCTGCTCCTTTGATAAAGTGCAGGGCAGGCAAGCTTGGCCTTCGTTGGTCCCCAAGAACTTTTCCAGGCTGTTGCCCCATAAAGTAACGATAGGCACCCCTTTCCAGAAGAGGGTTCAAGATCTTTCAGAATGGTCTGTGAGCTTAGGAGGGCAATTGTATATAAAACGTGTATGTGGGATTTCACATTCACCGCATCTCCACAAGTCAGTAATGGAGGTCAATCACACACAAAAAAATACACCTTCCATAGAGAGCAACAGAAAGCCGTTTGCAGGCTGACACGTGTAAACAGGAGTTCCGATTATTTTCGCAGTTTATCGATTTGAAGTAATGTAATTGCAATGTTACTCAAAAGTTCCTTGATTTTAAGTGTCTTTTACTGGCTGAATGACAGTTTCTCTCCTTTCAAGGAGAAAAAACCTAAACAAGGAATGTTCACAGGGGATGCTGTAAAAGGGTCAGGAATACTGAAGTCATTTTGATTCCCACACGTAAAGAAAATGTTGAACGCCTTTGGATGCTTTTCCAGGACTTTTCCTGTGGAAGTCACCCACCCCCCACTTTCTTCATCTTCCGACAAATTTCCTGCCGAACTAGCTGCCGCTCCTGCTCCTTCTAGCCTGCTCTCCGGAAAAGAACACGGGTCACCCAGGCTTCAGCGAGAGCTTGCCCTCGACTCTGACGAGAAGGAATGCATTGCCAGCAACTTTTAAGTCCGCTTTTTAAAAGGCCTGTGAAACGAGTCCAGACTTTTCCTTTGCATTAAAGTTTTTGGCAGGGCTGAGACTAGGGGGGCCGTAGGTGACATTGGGAGAAGTCAGGGCATTAGAGGTTCCTGGGAGCAACCTGGGGATAAAGAGGAGGCCACTTGACAGCAGGGAGGGGATTTGAATGGGGGGCTCCGAGGACAAACTTGGGGCCGGGAATCGGAGAGAGGGCCGGCTCGAAGGTAAGAGGGAAGCTGCCGGGGCGCGGCACGGGCGGCTTACTCGGGGGCGACGCTCCTCCACGCCTCAGGAAACCGGGTGTCTCAGGTCTGGGGGAAACAAGAGACCACCCCCAGGGTCCCAGAGCCGAGGCGGGGCTGTAAGGGACGAAGGACTCTCGCGGCTCCGAAAGCGGGAGGCGGTGGAAGGGGGAGGAGGCCCGGCCGCCTCAGCTGCCCCGAGCCCGGGGGTCTCTGCCCGAGACACCCCCTCCCCCGGCCCCGGACGTCGCCGCCGCCGCCGGGCAGTCACATCCCTCGAGCTCCGCCGCAGGACCCAGCCTCCCCCCGCAGGTAGGGGCCGTGGACAACGGAGGGGTTCCTCAGCCGCAAGACCCGGGAACCGGCTCCGGCTCCAGCGCTGCTCAGGGACGAACACCGACCCCCGCGACCGCCATGATGGATTACGAGCCGCTCCACAACGAGGCCAGGCTCCGCCCCTGGCCCCGCCCCCGGCGACGTCCGGAGCGCGCCTCCCGAAGACCTGGACCCTCCTGACGCCGCTTTTGGGGACACGGCCCGGCCTTCCCGCTCTAGTCTCCCTGCCCACCAGAACCTGACACCGCACGACCTTTTAAACGTGTTTTTTCCGAGTGCAAGGTGAGTAGTAAGGAAGCACCCGCCTCCCCTGTACTACCATTGGTCCCCGAGAATCCGGGTCAGGTCTCTCTCCTGAGTCCTATTGGCTGATGTGGGCAGTAGGGCTACAGCTCCTAGCCAACGGCTTTCGGCGCAGCCTGCAGGACATGCCGGGAGTTGTGGTCCCGTGGTGCCCGCCACTGTCCGCGCGCACCCAAGACTTCTTGCCCTCTGCTCCGTGTTCCTGAGCTTCGTTCGGTCCCGCCCTCTGGGGAGTCGGTGGACTCTCGCCGACCTTGCATAGGGCTGGCCAATGTCTCCACTGCGCGGGTAAGACCCGCGAGGAGCCAAAGCAAGGGGAAAACTGCGGATTGGACTTTCCCAGAACCGGAGTTGGATTACTTCCTTGAGCCTCTTTAAGGGGGAAAATTTAGCTCGCTCCTGGAAACCAAGGTATTTGGTGCCCACTCCCTGACCCCAAATTTCCACCTCTTCCCAAGAAGCATAAAGGTTATAATAGAATTAGCGAGAAATAAATGACTGGAAAGCATCCGACATATTGCTAGAGAATTCATTGTTTCTTTGGGGCATCAGGAGCCTCTCATTAGAGAAACAGCATTTGTTGAGCACCTATCAGAGGCTAAGCCAGGCACAATCATAGATGTTTGAGCGGAACCTTTACAATTAAAGCTTATTTTACAGGTGTACATGTATTTACCTGAAAACATCCTCTGTGATAGCCGGGGAAATGCCCATACTGTTGACTAGCAGGCCTATAGAGCTAGCCAATAACGCAGACACAAACCCACACCTGTCAGAAACCATCCTCTGCAACTAAACATCACCCTGGTTCCCTATTCTTTACTCTCCACGTCTCCCCACAGCGATGCACCTACCTGACTAGGCTATACGTTTCTAAGGGGATTCATTCATCACAGCGCCTACTCTACACCACGCACTGTTGTTTTTCATAAACTATGATTTCACTTAATCGTTACTACAGCCCAATGAGGGGGCTCCATTATACAGCTGGGAAAATACTCGGAAACTCAACTTACTCAAGGTCACTTGCCTAGTATGTTACAGTCAGGATGAGTCCAGATTGGTGTTGCTCCAAAGCCCATGGTTTTCCCACCGTAACCATTCAGTATCAAATAACGGTCAGCCTAATGTTAGACAACTGATTTTTTTCATAAGTTGCTACTGATATTAGGGGAAAACCACAGCCACATTATAGGTCTTAAGACATTATTATCTTGACACGGGTGTTTTGGAAATGTTTCTGCTGGATTGGGAAATGGTGTTGCTTTTATGGAGGCTTCAATAGTCACTTGGAGTGAATGTGAGCACATGAAAATCTGTGCCCAGGTTCAGGACTGGAATTTATATTCAGATGTTAACTGGCTTAGCTTTTCTCTCTCACAAAACAGTCTGGCTGACAAACTTGATCCTGGCTTACATACAGATCACCCTTACAACTTTAACGCCTTTCTTCCTCTATTTACCCATTATCTTATCCTGATTACCACCCTAAATTTTTTTTTTTGAGACTTGCTTTTTTTTAATTTCTATTCATGTTTCAATCATTTCCTGCTCATCTTCCTTCTTCATTCTCTAGTTGAGCTTAAAATCAGGCAATCAAGTCAGAAACTCTAGTCCATTTCTTGAACAATTCATTCAACAGGCATTTATTGAGCCCCTGTGTGCCAAGCACTGTCCCAGGTGCTGGGACACAATGGTGGGGGGTGGGGGACAGGACTCATCCCTGTTCTCTCAGAGCACACAAAGAGGGAGCGACGGGCAATGAGCAAAGTGAGTACCGATCCAAAGTGTCAGTCTCAATGCTGGAAATAAAATTCCTAGACCTGTATCCCTTCACAGGGAGTCCGGCCTACTCTCTGAAGGACTGTTTTGTCACCTCTCTAGAACTGAAACCTGGTCTCCACTCACTCACAGGTGCTAATGGGCTTAACCCAGTCACTTAATTCTCTGAATGGCTTTCCTCACTTATAAGTGGGGGTCATACCTGCCAACTTTACAAGGTTATCATAAGGGTCAAATGAGATCTTGTCTGGTTTTCCACAATTAAAGATGGAAGTTGTGCTTCATGAAAGTCAGTAGAAGCCAGCCGCACCTGATCTAAATAAGCACTTATCCCAAATCTCCCTTTTCAACTTCCACCATTTTCTAATTTTGGTGAGCCCCAAGCCCAGACTATATTTCTAGAGATGTACTATCCTTTTTTACTCCCTGTATAACACTGTAGAATGATACTTTTGAGGACTTAAAACTAGAATCGAGCCCAACAAATGCCTGACAGAATTGTTTCCAAACGTTGAATAAATCCCTTACGTTCCTATATTCTTTTCATTAAAAGTATAATTTTATCTTCACTTTTATAAAGCAAAGCAACCCACCAAGTTGCTAAAGGGATTCAGTACCTGTGTAACCTGTCCTTATTCCATTCTGTTTATTCCTTTTTCCACCTGCTGGAATACTTAACAAGGGCGCCCTCTAGTGGGCCACAGAAAATAATCACTAAAAGGTGCTTTCAGACCTTCCTTTGTTATTTCCACTTAGTCTGTACCATTCAGCAGGTATTGAATGAACAGCATAGGCTGGTAGCTTGGGAAGAGGACAGGTGGAAAGCATAACTTTCAACAAGCTTACATATGGCCCTAGCGAAAACCAAACCAAACCAGGGACTCAGGCACCCTTTCTAATTCCCTTCTCTCATTAGGCATACAGCCTGGCACGTCTTCTCAAAAACAGGACAGGTTAGCAAATCTAAAGTTACAACACAGCCTATAGAATATTCAGTTGTCTGCAAAGTCCTCAAAACAGCTGATACATTTGGGACAGAAAAAAGAATGAGGTAAAAAAAATTGTCTACTGAGTAATGTTAAAAATACACCATTTAAGGGGCGACCGGGTGGCTCAGTTGGTTAGAGTGCAAGCTCTGAGCAATAGGGTTGCCAGTTTGACTCCCACATGGGATGGTGGGCTGTGCCCCCTACAACTAGATTGAAAATGGCAACTGGACTTGAAGCTGAACGGCATCCTCCACAACTAAGATTGAAGGACAACAACTTGACTTGGAGCTGATGGGTCCGGGGAAAAACACACTGTTCCCAATAAAATTAAAAAAAAAAAAAAAATACACCGTTTAACAAAAAAAAGCCAAGCTGTATTTCAAAATTGTCAAATGCCATGTTCAATGTTACTACTGAAACTGCCCTCCATTTTATTAGCTGACCCAGGTAGAATGGTTAGGGCCTCTGGCAGTGCTAAGCCCTCCTCCTAATGTACTCAGCTCCCAAGAATTACAAAGAACACAGAACAGAAAGTGATGTTAACGCCACATTTGTAAATATAAAAAAAGCGTTCACTACATGTGAAACAAAATTGCATTTCACAGAGTGCCTTTAAAAATTGTTTTCCAAAATCTATACCATTTTATAGACATCAAAAACCAATGCATGGGAATTATAGCATTCCTCAGTGAGAAATTCAGCATCTTGGTTTTATCTTTCAACCTGGAATTATTCAAACGTTAATGCATTACTACTTCAGTTATAGGACACCAGCTTTTCTTTTCCCATCTCCATTTTTCCTACTTTGATTTCATGTTTATCAGAGCACCCAAGACATTCATTCTATTATTGATAATTCAACTTCTTACAAATCGTCCTCAGAGGCAGGGCAGATTAAGGCAGCTGGTGTGGGTATAGTCCTATCTATTACGAGAAAGAGCATGCAATGGGAAATAAGATTCCAGCCAAACAGAAGGCTGCTTGGTTGACTTTATTCTTCCATTTGACTGCCGGGTTACCTTTACCAACTATATTCTTCCATGTTGTACTTGTGCTGTAGAGGAGGTGGGAACAGAAGCCAAAGCAGATAATTTGGGGGTCAGGGAGGCCATGTTTTGATAGGGGCAATTTCACGGGGCATTGTGCCTTGTGAATTGATGGAGAGAAGACAAAAGATTCTCCGTATTACAGGATAGGAGTCCACTCAGCTGGAACATTGCGTGCTTTTAAAGACCCCAAACCACCCGTAGTGCCAGGATCTGCAGGCAGCACCAGGGGCCAGCGGTGCGATTCACCTCTCCCAGGCTTTGCCTTCGAACATAAGAAAGCTGGTCTGTGGGCTGGAGGCAGCCTGACGTAGGTCCAGTGACGAGACTCCCAGTCCTAGGGCTTTGCTGAGCCACACATCTGGGACCACAGATCAGGGTGTTCACTTTCAAGAACTGCTCCAGACAGGAACACGCAGTCCTGCTCTTCAGATGCTTCTCCTTAGCCCTCCTGTTCTAAAAGTCTCTGGCGAGTTTCCATCACAATTTCCTCCATTATTTCAGGCTTTAAGATGTCTTTAATCTGAAAAAGGAAAAGGTATTTGTTCAGAAAAGAAACCAACAATAAGCAGACTATCAAGCAAAGCTAAATGCAGAAACCAAGCATGGTTAACATAAACCTTCTATATTCCTTGCATTTATCAGAGGCTAAGCAGAAGCTCTCATCTGCAGGAACCCACTTAACACATCAGCAGATTCTCTAGGATACCGTGACAAGAACAAAGATACTATTCTGACACTCACTAAAAAGAGCTGAAATCGGAATGGGCGAGAGGAGGTCCAGAGGGCTGCTGTCCTACACGAGGCTGGCCGGCGCCTCTATCCCCTCAAACCTTTACACTGACGCCAGACACTGAGAATGTTACAAGTATCTTCGGAAAAGATCGACCAGACGCTCATTAAAGCTGTCCACCAGATCAGTTCAGACCAATAGGCATGGTAAAGGTATTTGGGAGGTGTGCCTGCCATCGCTGGGAAAACACTGGAGCCTATCGATAAACACGTGACGCCTGCTCACAGCTCAGTGAGGAAAAGGGGCGCCCTGGGTGGGGTACCTGATGTGGAAGAGACGCCTCATAGCAATACAGGATGCTGGTGTCATACAGCATCATCCTCTGAGTTACGAGCGACACAATACAGTTCCGAAGCCGGGAGATCACCTCTCGATCAGCAAGGGAGACAGGCTACCAGGGGATGCAAAGGGAAAGGGGAATATAAACAGGACCACACTAAGTGAACAGTCACAGCAAACCACAGAAATCATTTATAACATAGTATCACTCTGGGACCCCAAACCAAACAGCTGACTCCAAGGGAGATTAAAATGGGTGCCTTCTTCAGCTACTACCCACAACTCTGCCGTCAGTCACTGACTTCATCTCCTCAGTCAAAGAGGGCAACACAATGTTCATGAAACACTTCAGTGGAAATTCAGACTAACTCAGAAAGGTGAAGGGATTAAGAAGTACAAATTGGCAGTTACAAAAGTCAGGGATTATCAAGTACAGCATAAAACATAGTTGGGAATACTGTAATAACGTATGGTGTCGGAAGGGTACCAGACTTAACAGGGTATCACTTCGTACGTTATATATAATGTCTAACCACTATGCTGTATACCTGAAACTAACATAATATTGACTGTCAACTGTAACTGAAAAATAAAAATTAAAACACAAAAGTCAGAATACCTACAATGATTTAATTTATATAAATGTCAGAAATCCAAAATTAAAAAGTATAGGAACATTTGCGTTAACTTTTTAAAAAAGGGATGCTTTTTATCTGGAAGTAAGTAAGGAGAATGTAATTGGGGACCTCAGCTACTGATTCTTAAGCCTGGTTATGAGGACATGGGTAGTAGTTTTATTATGCTTTAAAACATATTCCTTTTTGTATGTATAATATTTCAAAATAAAAAGCAAACAACAAAAAAAGAAATTCAAACTAACTCAGATTAATACTTAATCTTAATATAGTTAAAAAGACAGCACACTCCACCCACCACAGAAGCAAGCGGAGACCACGTGCCTGCCCGCCCGGCCACCCACCAGGACAGCGACAATGGTCTCTACTCACCTCCAGGTTTGCAATGAAGCCCCCTGCATCCTCCTCCTTGTGCTCAGGGGTAGGGTAGACCCAGATAAAGCCGTTGTTCCCCAGAATCACTGAGGCGCCACAAGGCAAGTCATGGAAGTGAGTCTTCTGCCGTTTCACCAGGGAGGGTGAAACCTGGACCAAAACACCCTGACCTAGCTAAAGAAACACAGTAGGCTCATCAGGGAGGTGAATGAAAGGCAGGGTGCAGAGTGTGCCCTGGAATCAGGTCCTTCCTGTGACTAACTGCTGGGCACCCACCTGCACACGCGTAGCAATTATTCAGAGAACACTTCTGGATGCACAGGTTGTTGAGATGTCCCAGAGGTGACTTTCAACATCCTTCTCTACCATTTTCCTTTGCAATTATCAGCATGACATTCTAATCGAGCTCCGTTCTAATGGAGCGCTGTTAGAGAAGCTGGAGCCAACAAGGACCTGGGCTCGGGCCTCTTGTAGGCCAAGGGGCACTGTTCTGTTCCACCTTGACCCGACCACCTATCTTGCCCAGGAGGTGTGTGCCACTGGGCAAGCGGACTGGCCAAGGGCAGGGTGCAAACCCATCTGTGATTCTGGCAGGACAGCTCAAATTCCACATCGGGCTGAGGGAGGGTCTGCAGTACCCCAGCAGCCCCAAAGGTCAGCACAGTGCAGCTGTTTCACCTCCTACTTCAGGGATGTGAATGTGGCTGGCTGTAGCTACTCTAGTAAGGGAAGAGGTTGTTCGTTCCACTCAGAAAATAAAAGGTTCATTCAGATAAAGCCACGAGCCTAAGAAGTCATAATTTGTTTGGCAAAGTACGCCGTCATTTAAAAAATAGCCTCAATAATGTAACTTCATTCAAGAACAGCAGTGACATTTTATTGAAAGGCTCGAGGGACTGATCTTTCCTAGCAATAATATCCGTTGTATTGATTGGACATTTGTCTAAGAGCTGAGACTGTCCTGTTTCATCAGTCCACAACCTCCCTTTGTTCCAAGGATTGCCTCTCAGCCCTGGCCCCAATGCAAAGCTGCAATGCCTGCTGGGGGTGAGCAGGCAGCTGGGGTACAGGGTCATAGGGACACCTGCCCAACAGTCTTCCAGTAGAGAAAGCATTACAATGCTACTGGCCCATGAACACGTGCATCCATCCATTCACAGGATGCCAGCCTATGACACTTAACTTCTGGGGTTCTTCAGGTCAGAGTTCCAGAGAGCTCTGGAGATTCAGAAATGGATTTGAAGTCTTGGTCAGCAAACAGGAACAGCCAAGAGCCCAGCTTACCTTTCCGTACTTTAGGCTCCTCGTGTGCAGGGAGACAGCTCCGTCAGAGAACACGGCCTGCACCTCGGCCTGGCCAGGACAATGAAGGAACAAACACTTTCACATCATCTACCTCCCAGTGTCCCCAGCCTCGCCTCTTCTACCCGACAGCCCCACGTGGCAGTCTTGGACCTGGAGGACATCGCTGTAACCTAACCTCTCCGCCTTGGTTGTCATGAATATCTTGATGAGAACACATTTTCTACTCCTTGGGATAAAAGTTAACATCATTAAGAAAACTTGAGTCTGGCTTAAAGCACAGGCCACCATTAAGTCACAAGACCCAAAGAGACAAACTTAGTAGCCGCAGATCTGAACAAGAGCTGGAGTCAGCCTGGGTTAAGGAGATGGGGAAAGGCTGCAGCAGAGCCCCTGACACTTGACCTAGGACTCAGATCCCTGCAAGGAGTATGTGTTTCTCCTGTTGGGGACACATACCGTATTTTGCCGTGTATAACGCACTTTTTTTGCCCAAGTTTGTGAAGGAAAAATAACGATGAGCGTTATACATGGGTAGTACTAACTCTGTTTTCCTGAAAGTTTGGGCCAAAAACGTGGGTGTGCATTATACACGGGAGCGCATTATACACGGCAAAATACGGTAATTTCAGCCCCATTTCCCAGCTCCACGATGAAGCATAAAGATGCTGGAACGCAAGGCGCAGGATACACTGATAAGGTCTCCTTCCTGCAAGAAACCTCTCATTGCCAGCTCATCTTCTGCAGATCTTCTCCTCTGAAACATACAAAGAGATGACGACGTTACTTAAGTCAGATCCTACAGAAAACTCTCTCCCTCTCTCCTTTCTCGTTCACTTCCTTGTGAGCTCCCTGAAGCCAGGCACGATATTCAAACACTACAGAAAGTAACCCATGCCACTCAAGGAAACTAGAGGCTAACACTTCGACCTTCCCACAGCTCCTCTTCTCCTGCCTCTTCTCCTCCCTCCTCTGAGTAATATTCAAACCACTTACATGATAAAAACTCTCCCAATCTAGCCCATGCACTATTCCACACTGTCCTTCCTTGGCAGCCCGCTTCGCTCCACAGGACTAGACTACCACTGGCCTGACTGCTCACCCATTCCCCTCGATCTCAGACATCCTGAGCTCATCAATGAAACCTGTCCATCCTTCAAGGATCAACCCCATCTCTCCTATGAGCTTCTCTTTTTGTACAATCACACTTATTCTTTGACTGCCGGGTATTCGGGTGTTATTTCACATCCCCCGCCAGTCTTAAGCTTTCAGGAACTCCTTCATGCCTTCTTTGTCTTGCTTCCCCACAGAACCTAGCGCAGTGAGCCTCGCTGTGATTTGTGCTGGGCTGAAGGTAAAGGGGAACCATGGCATTTTACAAAAGGCTGCAGCTTACATGCTGTAGTTACCTGGAATAACCAAATGCCACTCAATTCATGGAAACTAAACACACCTTTTCAAGGAACACGTCCACTGTGTAAAGCAGATGCACCCAGAAAAGGAAAATTAGCACCAAGCATCTGAGAGCTTCTCTTCACAACTCCCTTCTGGGATTCCTCCCCATGGCCGTTCAGGTCTTACCACACACCACTGCCTATGTTGGGAGGCCTGGGTCAAGGGAAAAAACTAGGGGTACGTCTGAGCATCCAAAGAGAAGTGGGGCCACTTCAGCGTAAGCAGAGTCCTCTGGAGGAGCAAAGGACCCCAGAGCTCTCTGTAGCAAACTATACAGTCCCAGCTGCAGCCTCTTACCAGCTCTCCTCCAGGAAGGTTCATGGATGAGAGAAGCAAGACTGAATCCAGCCTAGAGTTGGTCTCCACCTTCCACCGCTTCTGTTGAACCTACAAACAGAAATTCCACACCTGGACACATACTCCAGGGGCAAGACCTCACATCGTTAAGTGACCAGTAATCCCCAACAGAACAAGCCAACTGTTTACATCAAAGGTCACACACAAGAGCCAAATGCAATGAATGCTTTGTTCACGTAACTACATATGGAATGACTACCCCATTCATTAAATCACCAGCTTGCTCTGACTTTGTGAAAACCAATCTGATAGCGACTTTACCTCTGTGATTCGCCCCACTACAATGTCTCCTACTTCACCATTGTACCTGAAAGATAAAACGAAAGGTCATCCATCAGTGAGAAGACTTGATTTCAAAACCAAGCACCATCTGAGAATTTCATAACACAGGATGAGGGCCTCCATTAGGCACAGTTAGTAAATTCACATCACTATGCTGGTCGGATTCATTCTCACGGACTGATTACTTCAACATTCCTACAAGTCTCGTCTCCGCTAACTATTCTTAAACACACCGTTATTGCAAGTAGTCCGTTAAGCCTGAATCTCTAGTTTGTTGATTATATAACAATGAGAAGCATGGAGTATTTCTGGTGGGCTCTGGAACACGGGTTCTACATCAGCCCCAGGAGGAGAAAGAAGACTGGGGCAGGACAGTGCCAAGCAGTCTACCCGCTGTCACCCCCACCCTACGGGCTGCCCGTCCCAGGCCCCTGTGCTGGCTCCTCATCCCAATTCTAATGACAAGTGTTCCGTGCGGAAGGCTGTCTTTGGACCTCTTCTCGTTTCAGCCCACACCCACCCTTTGGTGAATTCGTCCAAACTAAAGGCTTTAAATACCATTCATGACTGTTCCATTCCCCTGAATTCCAGACTCTGGTCAACTGCTGGCTACCCAACATTCCCATTTACATAACTAATAAGCATTTTTAAATGTAACAAAGCTCTCCAGCAACCCCACCCCCACCACAAACTGACCCTCTCCCAGCCGTCACCATCGCAGTAAATGGCAACTCCATCCCTCCATTTGCTCAAGTCAAAACTAACTAACCTCTCCCCGCCCATGCTCCAGGACAAGTCCAGCAGCAGATCCTACTGGCTCTACCCTCAAAATACACACAGAAAATAAAAGGCATCCAAATTGGAAAGGAAGAAGTAAAACTATCTCTACTCACAGACATGGCCCTATATATAGAAAATACCAAACACAAAATCCAACACCCTTTGATGATAAAAAACACTCAGAACACAAAATATATGCAGAATTAATCACTACTCTCCACTTATACACACCTTAGTTCAAGCCACCATCACTTCAGATGAAGAGTCCTCTAATCTGTCTCCATAAGCTGGCCCCTGGCCCCCTTCAATCTCCCCACAACAGCCAGAGTGATTTTGTTAAACCAGAAGTCAGACCATGTCCCTCTTCTGCCCCCTGCCCCCAGTGGCTTCCTGAGTACACAAGTGGGAGTCAAAATGCTCCTCATGGCTACAAGGCAGGCTGATGGCCGCCTCAGCTCTGCCTGCATCTGCTCTGACTCTTCCGCGCACTGTTCCAACCCCACTGGCGTTCTTTCTGGGACTAATCTTAGTTGAGCCCTTCTAGGTAGCAGGCCCTGTGCAACTAAGTAGTTTACATTCACCCTTTCAATGAATTTTAACGAAAAGCCTACAAGGTAGGTTGTGATATTATCCTCCTTTTACAGAGGAGGTAACCAAGGCTTGGAGAGGCCAGCTAAGGTGGGGAAACCTCTGAAGCCCGCACTTCTCTGCAGTTACCTGTACGTGTTCCACATCGCAGACCTAGAGAATGACAGGGCAGACGGGTTGGGAGGAGTGGCGTGGCAGAAGAGACCTGGCAGTGCAACATGGATGCCACAAGAAAGAGAATACACACCTTTCGTTCTCACCTGGTTTTCAAAGCTTTCACACAGATCAACTTGTTTACTCTCTCCACAGAGCCAGCCACAGATGCAATGAGTTTCTCTTCCCCCATGTAAGTTCCATGGCCCCTGTTGCAAGAGGAAGATAGAAAGGATACCAGGGTAACACGAGGTGACCTCTCCCGTCAAGAACAATGTATTCCTCAAGTGCCAGGCTCCTCCTGCCTTAGAGCCTGGCTTCTGTACTGGTTGCTCTCTCTGCCTACAACACTCCTTCCCTGGAGAGCTCCACAGTCCTCGCCCTCGTCTTACTCAAGTCTACACAAATGTCACTTTCTCCATCAGGCCTACCTCGACTGGCCCATTTAAAATAGTCATCTGGGGCCGGCCGAGTGGCGCGTTGGTTAAGAGCTGGCTCAGGATGCCAGCTCTGAGCAGCAGGGCCCCATTTCGGATCCCACATGAGGGCCAGCGGTTCAGATCCCACATGAGGGCCAGTGACACTGCCCTCTATAGCTAAGATGGTGAAAAACAGCTCAACCTGGAACTGAGCTGCCGTGAATTGCCAGCGACGGCGTGGGCTGCAGCCCCTGCTGCAGTGGGCTGCCGTGAGCTACTGTGGGTGGCTGGCAGCCAGTGTGAGCTGCCAAGAGCCGCCGTGAGCGGCCATCCAGAGGCCGGCGACCCATCTGCCTCCCCTGGGAAGAGCGCAATGATAATACCAACATGGGCCAGTGAAGCGATGTCCTATACAGCTAGACTGAAGAACAAAAGGACAGCAACTTGTCTGTTTCCCTCCCCCAATTCCCCAGCGCTGTTCCCCTACCCCAATTCCCCAATAAAATCTTTTTTAAAAATAAATAAAATAAAAGTCATCTACTTCCAGTGGACTCTGTTATCTATAGCCGTACTAGCCATTACATATAACAAGAAACTAAGCATCTTTGCTGTTAATTATTGTATGTGCCATTGCTACAGATTATTGCCTAGTCTGTAATAAATTATCTTACAGCAGCCAAAAAATAAAAAATAAGTCACCCACCCCGCTTCCACCACCCCCACCATATTCCCAACCACATTCCACTTACCCTGCTCAACTTTTAATTTTTTCCACTGCATTTATCACCAAACATTCTGAATAACTTATTTGTTTGTTCTGCTTATTGCTTATTATCTGTCTCTCCCTGGGAGATATATATAAACTCCACCAGATAGTGATTTCCACTTTGTTCACTGTTGTACCCTAACCACGCATACTATAAATATATGTTGATTGTGAGAATGAAGGACTGAATCTTAAGATTTTCTAGCATCCAATAACCTCAAACTAAAAGGTTAAAGAGCAATTTGTAAACGCTAACCCTTCTAATAGGTACATGTGTACCTCCCCCACCAAAAGGCTGAAATACCATTAGTGTTTATCTAGGATGGTGATATAATGGTGAGGTTTGCTTCTTTTTCTTAATTATTACCTCATTTAATCCTCACTACCCTATCAAATAGTTACTGTTATTATCACTCTTTTTCAGATGAAGAAATTGATCTTGGAAAGGTAATACAATTCATGTGATGGCAGCAGGACTGGAACCCAAATTGTCTGACTCAAGGGCCTGCCTTCTTCACTATTAATACAACCTATTGTACTGCGCTCAAAGTTGTATATCTGGGTGCATGGAGCACAATTTATTTGTTTGCCCTAAACCCAAACAATTACTGATTACAAAACCGTGCACCTGGAGGAAGCCAAGTCAGAAAAGCCCACTGTCCCCATTAAGAGGCCCCGGCTCCTAATTCCGCAGTTTCCCAGGTCTCCAACGAGGGAGGATAGAACTGGGCCTCAGGAAGAGGACCCAAGAATTACGGCCACCAGAGGTCGGGAGAGGAGGGTTTTATGGAGCTGAGACAAACGCAGACGGGGACACACAAGACGCAGGGGGTAGAAGCCCGAGGCCTCGGAAACCAGGAGACTGGGATGCTCAAAAGATGTGCCCTGGGTCCCGCGGGCGTTTTGACACAAGGAGACAGAGGCCCAGGTTTCGGCCAGCAGGCCACGTGCAAAGCCCTGCAACCGCCCCTTGTGGCCCCGAGTTCCAGGTCCCCACGTACCGCATGAAGCCTGTGTCCGTGGTGATCGTGTCTCCCGGCACCACCAAGTGTTTCTTACTTTCGCGGCCCAGGCTTTCGCTAAGAGGTTTGCGAGCAACGGGAAGCCTCATCTCCATCGCCATCTTGGCGCCAAATGACTTGCGCAGGCGCAGCTCGGCCGAGAGACCCGATTTCCGGCTCCGCATTTTCCGGCCCTCGCTTGGAGGGGCGGAACGGGGCGGGGCCTCAGTGCAGCCGCCAATGGGAACTCACAATCTGGCGGCCATGGTGACTATTGGCAAGCACAGGTTAACGTGAAGGGAAGGAAAGAGCCGAGTTGCCGTTTTTTACTACGGGGAAGTCGGCTCCTGTCGGTTCCTGTGGAATAAAATCTCTTGTTGCATGCGTTTGACTTTTTACCCAAACTGTCTCGTACTCATCATCCCATTTGTTGTTTACCGGGGTTAGAGATAACTGAGAAATGGACCTCTGAGTTTCCTTCCAGCTCTAAGCTGCTAAAATCATGTTTTTGTGTGAGCCAACTCAGTAGGATCAGGAAGTGGGAGTCACAGAAAACACTATTTGGATGGAAAGAAGAGCCCCTTTTCTTGCTGTTCCTAGCACCGCCAGTTCTACATTACAGCCGCCCGGCGGGTGCTGGTTCAGCATCGACCGTCACCTATACCCCCAAAAAGGGGCTCGGGGCGCTGATTCGGTTCTTTTATAACTTCTGAATGAACTGATTTATTCTTAACATTACTTTTGTAAAAACGAAACCGTCTAAGAAAACATTCAAACCTTGCAAGGCAGGTATATTTAGTAGGAAAGGCAAGTGCACACACAATACAAAGATCTTCTCTTATCTTTACTCACACAGTGAATGGAGGGTTCTGTGTGTGTGCCAGGAGCTGTTCTTCTAACAGCTAACGATTCGGTCGTGCACAGATAGATGTATGTGTGGCTGTACCTCCATGTCCTGTTTGATAGGACCGTTTGCCTCGTCCTTTCTCCCAGCCCCCACTACCCTCTCCCTCACCCTTGTCCTGCATGGTGTATAGCACTGACAACACACTGAGTTTCAACCTCAGGGAACTGGAGATGATCATTCATCACGCACATGGACACTAAAGATGATTAAAGGAAACAAGTTGCATCAGTCCCACACACGGTGTTCACAAAATCAGGCCCCCTGCCTCCTGAAGAACCATCAGATCAATTGTTTGATAAATCTCCAAAGAAGACGGCATTTCTTTTGCCTAAGCAAAGCTCATGTCTACACTTGTCAAGAAAGCCAACCCTGAGAGGCAGCAGATGATATCAATTCCAGTGCCTCATAGGTCATCAGGTAAGTGGGCAGGTCAGACACTGGCCCTCCGCCCTGACTGGAAAGTGTCAGAAGCCAAGAAAGTGTTAAGAAGGGTTGGTCTGTTGATTCTGGCCTTGGCCATAAGAGGGCGGTGGTGTTCTTTGAGTCGGTGTAGCCCAGCTGGGAATGTCCCTAGACCAAGAATGTGATATAGTCTTGAAATCATCCAGTTTCATCCTGGAAGAGATGGACATAGCCTTATCCCCTTCCTTCTCACAGCACTCACATTTACAGAGCCTGTCACAATGGGATTATGGATACTGTTTTAGTCCATTTGGGTTGCTATAACAAAATACCATAGACTGGGTGGACTATGAACAACAGAAATTTATTTCTCACCATTTTGGAGGCTGGAAACTCCAAGATCAAGGCACTGGGAGATTTGGTGTCTGGTGAGGGCTCACTTCCTGGTTCACAGATGGCCATCTTTTCACTATGTCCTGGCATGGTGTAAGGGGTGAGGGAGCTCTTGGGGGAGGGGACGGTCTCTTTTATAAGGGCACTAATCACATTCATGAGGGCTCCACCCTTATGATGTAAGCACCTCCCAAAAGCCCCATCTCCTAATACCATCATCTTGGGGGTTAGGATTTCAACATATAAATCGGGGGTGGGGGAACACAAACGTTCAGTCCATTGCAGATACTTTTTTTTTTAAAGATTTTATTGGGGAATTGGGGGAGGGGAACAGCGTTGCAAATCGGGGAAGGGGAACAGACAAGTTGTTGTCCTTTTGCTCTTCAGTCTAGTTGTGGAGGACATCGCTTTGCTGGCCCATGTTGGTATTATCATTGCACTCTTCCCAGGTGAGGCAGATTGGTCACCTGCCACTGGACGGCCACTCACAACGGCTCTTGGCAGCTCACACCAGCTGCTGGCTGCTCATGGTAGCTTTACGGCAGCCTACTGAAGCCCCACTGCAGCCTACACCGTCGCTGGCGACTCACGGCAGCCCAGCTCCAAGTCGAGCTGTTGTTCACCATCTTAGCTGTAGAGGGCGCAGCATTACTGGCCCTTATGTGGGATCCAAACCGGGGCCCTGCTGCTCAGAGCTGGTGTCCCAAGCCAGCTCTTAACCAATGCGCCACTCAGCCGGCCCTGCAGATACTTTTTTATAGAGGGGGAAACAAAGGTCTGGAAAGGCCTAGAATTCCATAGCAATTGGTGGCAGGGCCAGTATTTCTACCACCTAAACCTGCTTCACCCCGGAGCCTGCACCCTTCATCAACACTGCTGGAGGTCCTAGTCCTTTGTTAAGTGCTGTACAAACAGCACTGTTACTTAGTCCTCACACTCGGCCCATCTTGGAGGTAGGCACTAGTATCAATGACAGTTGTTTGGGGCTACTGAGTCCCAACAACAGACCTGCAGCTCGGACCAGAACTCAAGACTCCAGACTCCCCACCAGGGCTCCCCTCTCTACATCACACTTGCCTCTTCACACCACCGGAAACAGAGAGTACATCCCAGAGGGGCTTGTTAGAAGCAGAGATTCCTGAGCCCAGACTGTAGAACCAGTGAGGTTCTACAAAGGTGGGGTCCTGAAGTCTGAGTGCGTGTTTTAACTGTGTAAGTGTTTTTGGTGGCTGATCAGGTCTAACATTCACAGATTCCCCCCCCCCACATCTATCTACCTCCCCATCTGTGCATCTCCAGGGCCACCACCCCAAGCCAGTCAACCTCATCTCTCACTTGGGCATCGCCTCCTAACTGGTCTCTTTAATTCTGCGTTTGCTCCTCCCACCATCCAACCTCCATACAGCAGCCAGAGGGAGCTTTTAAAAACAGATCAATTTAAACCATGTCCCTGCTTAGAAGGCTTCTGGCAGCGTTCCTTCACATTAAGAATAAAATCCAAGCTCATCATTGCAGCCCCAGCCCGTCTCTGACCTCACTTGCCTCCTAACCTGGTCCCTTACTACACAGCAGCCAGAAGCGCTGGTCTCCTCCTGGTTCTGCACACACCAACCTCATCGCCACCCCAGGATCTGTACACTTTTTGGCGCTCTCTGCATGGAATTCTCCTCTCCCGGGTTCTTGTGTGGCTAGTTGCTGCTTCTTACTCTGACCTTGGCTCAAATGTCACCTTCTCCAAGAAGCCTTCCCTTAACACCTTATCTGGAATAACCCTCAGTCTCACACTCTGGACCACTACACACCTGCACTAATCGCCCCAGGGCCAGGTACCAGAGAGCTGGGGGCAGCACCAATGCATCAGAGCTCACTGAAATTCAACTAGCTAATCCTAAACCTGCCCATTTCTTCCCATGGAAACCGAAGTAAAGGCTCCTTCACACATTTTCCCCTTGCTCCCTCTGCATCCTGATTGACCCCAGTGCTTCCCTGTGTGGCCCTGCGTGGTGTATCATGCCTCTAGTTTCTAGGGAACTGTGAGTGCTGTATAGCAAATTCTTCAGGACCACAGTTCTTATCGGCTCATCCTTGTATCTCCAGCAGGGAGGGGGGCAGGATGGGTGGGGGAGGACATGACACTTCTGTAGGAGCAGGACTTATCAGATGCACTGTAGTCTGCAATTACAGCCTGCTGCCACCAGATGGGTTCTGGAGACTGGGTTGTGGCCGGGGATCTTAGCTGGGACTTCACTGAACAGTTACCAATGGAGAGAGGTTTAGGTTTTCATCAAGGGCCACCTGAGTCCTCTGCAGACCCTTCTTTAGGAATCCAGCATTACTGTCTGGGAGGCATGGCGTCTGGGCCAGGAGGGTATTTCATTTTACTTCACCCATCTGCATCCAGAGGGAATGAATGGGTTTCAGGACAGACAGCTTTGATCACGGGAACAAGAGGCCTGGGTAGGGGCTGCAGTGGGAGGAGGGTAATGCCAGGGGCCACCAAAGGCATCAGAAACCTAGTGGTGAAGTATCAAGGGCAAGGCAAGGTTTGGAACGGGAGGAGGGGGAGGAGTACCAAGGGTGACTTTTCCCCTTGGCCCTAGGAAGGAAAGCCCAGATGGGCCCTGCAAATGAACACATTAAGTGTCCATCTCTGTCAGGGTGCAGGACCAGTCCCCCAAAGTACAAGGGTCTTTGGGAGTACACACCTGAAGCTCCAAAGGAGGATGGCCTGTGTGCTCATGTACATTCCGATGTCTGCAGGTGTGTGTGTGTGTGTGTGTGTGTGTGTGTGTGCGCGCGCACACACACACACACACACACACACACACACACATAGATGAGGATGTACAAAGAGGTGTGCCTGAGGTAGCCAGTGGGCTGAACGGGTGACATCCTCAAGGCTGGCACTTGCCTCACACTCCCCAGTGTTACATGTCTTCCTGGAGGAAGGAGCCAGGGCCTAGCCCTGCATTGATGGCCCACTGCTCTTTGGTCCTCCTCAAGGAGGGTCTGAAATGCATGCCCAGAGCATTTGGAAATTCTAGGCGTTGGAGATGCTAAGGGCACGTGGTGGCCATCTTGGCCTGCCCCCACTGGCTGCTTGAATTCCTTCAAGTTGCCCATGACAATGAAAAAAAAAAAAAGTAAAAATATGGGGGGCGCTGTGACAAAGAGGGAAGCTGATATTTGAGAGTCAGCCCAGACCCTCCCGAGGTTTCTGGTTGCTTTGCTCCGTAGCCATCTCTTTGGGAGCTGACACCCCAGTTGTGACAAAAAGAACTGCCCTTACAGATGGCACAACCAGGAAGTGGAACAACCCCTCCCACCCCCTCTCCGGCTTCTAGGCACTGTCCACATTTCCTTTTCATACAGAGAAAAGTGTCGACCCATTCAGATTCTAAGTGATAAATGGTCCAAGTAGTTTTTATTTTAGAATACAAGAAAGGT